AATTGTTGATGGTTGGAAACCATCAAATGGACATAGTTAATAATAGAAATTGATAACTTAAAATTTTGATTTATTTTCTTGCAGCTCCGCTTTCATGTGCCTTGCAGCCAAGTTTCCCTTGCAGCCGACAAGCACCAAAAACACCCTCTCCCAGAATGGGTGTAACACATTAGTGGAGGAACCAGAAGTCGAAATAATAGATCCAGATGGGACTATCACATATCATCAAGCTAGACTACAGGTGCCTACACGTCATCAAGGCTCCATAACATGCAGTCAATTATCTGAGCACAGAATGGAAGATCGCATTCAAACAACTGGAGCTTATTTAGTAAGTGAGCATGAAAAGAGAACAGACGAGGAAGTCATTTTATCACAAAACTCTCCTGACTCTCTCATTCTTCAAGCCAATGAAGAACTCAGGTCAAGCTCCGGATCCAACTCAGAATGTGAAGACCAACCAAGTTGGCCCAACTTGAACAAGAATAGTACTCGAGCAAACCGTTCTCCACCGGCAAAGTGGCCTGCTGCATTCCAGGAATACCAGAGTCACTTTATGAGGAATACACAATCAGAAAACATGTCCATCTTCAGGAATCATAAGTCAGAAGCTGTAGCGGGTATCAGGCATAATCAAACTCTTGATGCTGAGACGTACTTGCATGGTTATCCAATCAATCCACATGTTCAGGGCCAAGAAAAATCAGCAAGAACTTCCAGTAGTTTCTGGTTGACCATGACACCAGAATTTGGAAAACATGAAACAGCATGCCGTGAGAAAGAAATTGCCTCCTCTTTGACTTCAATAACTCCAGAACCCAATGCCGCAAAAGGAGTAGACTTCCTGAGCAGAAGCATGAAACAGATAACAGGAAGTTCAAGTACTTTGACAGCTCAGCAAACCACAGTGCCCATTGTTCATGCACCAAGAATGGAAGAATATGCATTTGCAAGTAAGCACAGAGAAGAGGAAGGAAATTTACAAATGCAGCCTCACAATGGAAATTATCAACATTCTGTAAGTTGCCATCCAAAGGAGATGTCAATGGCCTCACAACTAGAAAGCACTTGCATCCGACAGTCAGTAAACCGTGCAGAAGCCATTGCTAAAGGACAAGAAGGTAATCCTTATATCCCAAAATGCAAATAAGATTGTTCATGTACATACAAGATCTGTAGTTCGTACCTCGTAGTACATGCAAGAAACTCTTGCAATATAACCAAATCACATGCAGAGGTTCAAGCTTATATTTCAAGCGAGCAACCCAGTGTAACAGGCACCAGCATCTCAAATACAAGAAAAAGGAAAACTGAGGAAGGAGATAAGAAAGCTTTTGACTGGGATAGCTTGAGAAAGCAAGTCCAACCAAAGAGTGGGAAAAAAGAAAGAAGCAAGAATGCAATGGACTCACTGAACTATGAAGCAGTTAGATGTGCACCAGTTAAAGAAATCTCTGATGCTATTAAGGAACGAGGGATGAACAACATGCTGGCAGAGCGAATTAAGGTAACAGAGCACTAAATATGTTTTGATGAGTCACAAGGAGAAAAGAGACCTCACCGGATAAGTAAAGATTCATAAACGATAATTGCTTATTGTGCAGGACTTCCTCAATAGACTGGTAACGGATCATGGAAGTATTGACCTAGAATGGTTGAGAGATGTGGCCCCAGAAAAAGCAAAGTAAGTACCTTGCACTAATACACTAAAATTTTCCATCTTCATGAGTTTACCTGCCCCTAAATTATTTGTTCCTTACTGCAGAGAGTATCTATTAAGTATTCGTGGACTGGGCCTGAAAAGTGTAGAGTGTGTGCGGCTATTAACACTTCACAACCTTGCTTTTCCAGTAAGATCCACTTGCCAATTTGCGATGATTTACAAACTTGATCTACAACTCAAAGTTGAATTTGTCAGGTTGACACAAATGTTGGACGAATTGCTGTGCGACTAGGATGGGTTCCTCTCCAACCACTTCCTGAGTCACTGCAGTTGCATCTTCTTGAACTGTAAGTTATTAAAGCAAAACCTCAAAACTGTACTTTATCTACTATACAGGTTATCATTCATGCTTCCGCACAGGTATCCGGTTCTAGAGTCAATTCAGAAGTATCTCTGGCCACGACTGTGCAAGCTCGACCAGAGAACATTGTACTTTCTCAAGACCTCATAATAACTTTTCTTTGGTTAAATATGCAATTATTAAGCTAAAGGACGCTCTAACATACCCATGGATGTATTGGCAGGTATGAATTGCACTACCACATGATTACATTTGGAAAGGTAAGTTTAACTGCACTTTTTCAAGTTTAATATGCTGAGTATGACTTATTTTGGGGAGGTTGTCTCTCATCAGACAGAATCATTATGGCTTAATTTCAAAATTGGCACAGGTTTTTTGCACCAAAAGTAAACCAAATTGTAATGCATGCCCGCTGCGAGCTGAGTGCAGACACTTCGCTAGTGCTTTCGCAAGGTTAGTCATCCATGTGTTCAATCTTTTCTTTTTTTAATATAAGGAGGCTTGACATAAGGTTACCTTAAAGTTTTCTTTGTTCTTTTTAACAACTGCAAATGAAAACAGTTAGCATAATTGGGGGCAAAGGTATGGTGTCAAATTTAAAAACACAAATCTTAAGAACAGAAACCATACTTGTCAAATTCAAATTAAAATAATAATGATGATACTAATGATAACAATGATTATAAATAATACTAATAACAAGGAAAGAGGAAAACTATGTGTGTGCACATACATAATCCTTGTTAAAGCACATCTTAAATTGCTAAGCTATTTCACAAACCAAAAGTAGCCACCTGTTAAAGTAATACAGCGGAAGAACTCTTTAAGAACTTTCATTAGCTATCATGAATAGTTGCTTGCAAAACAAGATAAACAAGTGAATCAATCTGAACCTGAATGCTTCATATGCACCTTTCCTCAGCTAAAATCTGTTCATCTCATCCATCAAAATGCTTAAATGAGTCAACCACTCAGGCAATCCTTATTATTAAGTTAAAGTCACAAAATCATTTCAGTAATTGACAAGTAGAGCTCTAAAAAGTGTTCCTGAGATGGTTGTTTACTTCTGTAACTGTAACTCTTGCATTAGAGATGCAAAATCTGGCATCACTTTACTTCTATTATTACTTTGTCAATTTAGAGAAAAACTGACAAACATGTTGAAAAATTACCTGCAGTGCAAGACTTGCCCTTCCTGGCCCACAAGAGAAGAGTATAGTGAGTTCGACAGTTCCAATCTCTGGTGGAGGAATTGCAGCTGCCCCACTCAAGCCTATGCTATTACCCCCAGCAGGTGAAGGGAGAATGATTAGCCCATGTGCTCCGGTTGAAGCTGGAAACATCCCTGATTTCCTGAACAAACCAATGCCAATACCTCAAGAGATAACCAACTTGGATAGAGAAACAACTCTCATTACCAGCAATTGTGAACCTATTATTGAGGAACCAAAATCACCAGAACCGCTGCCAGAACTTTTGGAAAGTGACATTGAGGATGGATTTATTGAGGATCCTGATGAAATTCCAATGATCGAACTCAACATGAAAGAGTTTACGTCCAATTTGGAGACTATTTTGCAGGGGCATAACAAAGAAGGTGAGTTATCCAAAGCTCTGGTGGCTTTGAATCCAGTTGCAGCTTCAATTCCTACTCCCAAGCTGAAAAATGTCAGTCGCCTACGGACAGAACACCAAGTGTAAGTTCCTGAGTTTGTTTGATGTTTACCTGTGTAAGGATGTAAACAATATAAGTAGAATTTAGAAATCTGGAAAAATGGGACTAGGCGGGGCAGAATATAATATTATAGTAGGACTTAATGTGAATATGAAATTGTATGGAATTAAGAACACAACCAGCAAAGAATGTGCGATGCAGATATTTATACAAATTTGCAGTGTGCTGAAAATGAGAAGATGTATAAAGCCGCAGTACCAATTTGTATTGCTAGCCCACACCTCTCAACACCACCAATTATGACACCAAATGGTCTGATAATAAATTCCTACAAAGTATATAGTCTTCACGGTTTTACCTATGAAGCCATGCCAAAAAGCTCTAAAATTTCCAATCACAAAACTAATGGTCAATACTCTGATATATTGCAGGTACGAACTCCCAGATTCTCATCAATTGTTGGAAAAGGTCAGTTGTCTATCTTTTGTTGCTTCATTAATAAAATTTGGTTAGAACTAAGCTTTATTCTAACCCGATAATCTTCAAACACAGCTGGATAAACGAGAACCTGATGACCCAAGTCCATACCTTCTGGCAATATGGACACCAGGTATGCAACCTAATTTTCTTTGAATAGTATCTTCTTCTCCAGGATATCGACTAATGCACACAGAGCACAGTTAGTGAATGGAGAAAACTTGAGTTCGTGTTTCTCAACATAGTGCCAAATTGCTATTCTGAAGCCAAACTATGCATTAGCAATATTTCACTTTTTGAAACCAAAAGATGCCCCATATAGTACGGGGTGACAGACTGACCAGCTTTTCAGTTTTTTTCTCTTTTTCTCCGTTCTGTCACTGATTGCACCTACCAATATAATGGTGAATTAAAACTCTAGTCTGCAGTACATTATGTTGTTGTGACTCCTGCATAATGTGGCACCAGGTGAGACTGTAAATTCAATTCAACCTCCTGAAACAAAGTGTGATCCCAATGGCTCGGGGAGCCTGTGCAATGAAAAGGATTGCTATTCATGCAATGGCATTAGAGAAGCAAATTCACAAACCGTAAGAGGCACGCTACTGGTAAGTGGCCCAGGCATTTGTTGTGTTTAAAAGTAACTACCTGTAGAAGAACTATAAGCTAGCATTGCATTTTCGTCTCTGAAACACCAAGCTTATTGCAGATACCATGCCGAACAGCAATGAGAGGGAGCTTCCCACTCAATGGCACATACTTCCAGGTCAATGAGGTAAACTCTGGACCTTGTCATCTGATCATTATTTTCAGGGGACTGTTTGGGCAACAATACTTCACAAATACAAGAGCAACTGTTCATAATGCAACTTGAAAATGGAATATTATTGATTGCAAACATTTAATGCCTGATTATTGAATTATATGTGATCTTACACTGCAGGTTTTTGCGGATCATGAATCCAGTCTTAATCCAATTAATGTTCCGAGAAAATTGCTATGGTCCCTGCCAAGAAGGACCGTGTACTTTGGGACCTCTGTCTCAACAATTTTTAAAGGTACCTACTAATGCTCAGGAAACCATTGTGGTTTGATCCATGGCTTAAGAATTGAGCCTTAACTTACTGACTACATAAACATTGATGTTTATCAGGCTTGTCAACAGAACAAATTCAGCACTGCTTCTGGAGAGGTAAGGCCAACTTCTCTTGCTTCTCTTATTTACCGTGTACAAAAAGGATCTGAGTTAAGTATGTTAATGCTAAAGATGTGGAATAGTGAGATAGGAACGCGCTTCAATGCTGATGGTTCTGCAATAGAATGAGGCTCATTTAACTTAACTGTTATTACTGAATGGTACCAAACCAATGGAAGTGCAAGAAGAAAGATCTTGGACTCGTCACCAAAAATACAAGAGTTTATGAATGTGACTAAGGATATTAGTAACGCAGTACACGAGTTATACTTTTCAAAGTGATGATTCTACCTAGAAGAGATAAGACAATTTGCGATGCTAAAAATTCACATGGAAAGAATTGTAATCTAGGGAGAAAGTGTGCACTGCTAGGACTTAAACTAGGTGGCGATTTTGGATGAAAATCATCAAACTTAAGTGCTCAGTAAGTTGCCTGATACTTCTAAAAAGATCAAATAGAATTGGATCGGCAAATAAGAGCTAGCTAACTTGTGATTTATTCTTTAAAGAAAAGAGAGAAAAGAAAGAACAGCTAAGCTAATGGGAACATACAAGCCTCTTAAGATGAATAACACTCGTGGAGAGAAACAATTAGTTATAATAAGGTAGCAGGTGTAAAACTTATTGAAATACGAGGCAATTGTATCAGGTCATACAATTGTTTAAGAAATTACTCAAAATACCAGCACCTTTCCTTATCTCACTACGGGAATGGAGATGTGTATTATACCATGTTCAACTTTATCTTTAACCTAGTAAAAGAAGTGATTGAGTTACCTAATGTCTACAGTCAGATTATGTACAAACTGTTATTGTGGATGTCATTTTCAATAAGCATTTTGCAGGATTTGTCTGTGTGAGGGGATTTGATCACAAAACAAGAGCCCCACGACCTCTCATTGCTAGATTGCACTTCCCCGCAAGTAAGTTGGTCAAAAATAGAAGTGATGACAGAAAAAAGGAGGGAGCTGCTGCAGAGAAGGCTGCTGGTTACAATTCACCCAAATCTGCCCATATGAAGTAGAGAAACACTGCCGAGTAGGATAAGAATTTGATGACTAACACATTGTTGACATTCAGTAACCTCACCTTAACAGGAGATACAAGTTTACATGTTACAGCAGCACAATATTTGAAGTCACCCCTTGGCAAAGAGGGTGTAGTGTACAATAAACATCTCCTATTCTTTCATTTATGCTCACAAACTGAGCCATTTTTCAAGAATTAGCAATACAAAGCAATAATAGATGTAGGAAAATTGAGATGTAACGTTCATTGTTTGATTGTGCAAACAGTTAATGCCAATGCAATGGAATTTTTTTTTAATTCATGCCCCGAATGAACTACTGATTTAAATGTTGTTAACAGACTCATTTATGAGAGATGGAAGAAGTGGTTAACTGGAGATGCATACCCGTGGGGCTTCACCTCATAACTTAATATAGATGGACTGCAGTCTAAGCAAAGGATACAAAACCAAAAATTTTAAGATAGGAAAAAGGATCACCTATCAGCAAAAGGCTCTGCAAATTATATCGCCAACTCTTCTCAAATTTCAGATCTATTTCTCTCTCTTCCCCAGAGAAAAGTAGAAAACAGCTCAGCAGTAAATGATACACACAAATTAAAAATCAAACATCACCTAGCAAAATTTTGCTGTGAAGCCATTACTTTTGGGAGTCAGTTAGCAACAAAGCATCTCTCTGCAAGCATTTGAACTTACTAAATTCTGGAAGTTATACACCATACACTTACCCCAAGTTTGAAAGTAAAACAAAATAATTGATCTAAATCCGGAGAGACTCAACCATAACCATCTGAGTATTTCCCTTTTTGGCATTTAGAGGGCATAAGATCCTTAAACTACAAATCATTTATTTTTAATTATCAATATGCTAAAATGGATGGACAATCCCATACAAAAGTTCCAAGGCTCTGAATTTTCTCAACTTCCACATGTCAAAAGGCCCACGCTCTGTTAACTGTCTAAACTACGACCAAATTTCACCCTGTCTGGAATGTTTATAGACTATACTACAAAATTTGTGATTAACCTTCTCCATTTTTCTCTTTCCAAAATTTTACATACCCAATGCTTAAATTAAAATTTGACATCTATAGAGGGCTATATAAGGTAGTATTGCAAAAATTTCAAGGATGGAGTTTTCAGGCAACTAAGTTCTTTTCAAAATATAGAGCTATACTCTAAACTTTTATAACCTATAGCTACTGGCATAAACTAAAATGTTTATGATCATAGAATATATCTCTCTGATTTTGTACCTCTAGTACAGGGGCGGATGCAGACAGTGAGTTACGAGCATGGGCGGAGCTAAAAATGCAGATGCGTATAAGGTTAAAAATAATTTTATGCATATACATTAGTTGTTGAATCCTCTGTGTTCTCCCGTGCTTACGTTTTTATTTTTTTGAATTTCCTTGGTCAAAATCCTGCCTTTGCCACTGGTTACGAGCCATGTATAAGTATTTGTATTAGATTTATGAGATAAGTACAAAATATTGATTTCAAACCCAATAAAGCAAATGAGTTGTAGTAGAATCCCGAACTCGAACTCATAAAGTTTAAATTCTAGATCCGACTATACAATTGTACTCACTCAATGTCCAAAACATCATACTACTCAATAAGCTTANCTGTCGCCCCACCGATGCCTCTCGCCAGCGCCCAAGGGCTGGCCATTGACAACAGCGTCGCGCGCCCTGACAATGCCGCGCGCGCATATCCTGATGCCTCGCCAGCGCCCAGCTGCAGACCCATTCCAANCAGCTAATAGCCTTGACATATTTCTTTAATCATTTCTATTTGCTAATTATCATTACATTACAACGGAGTCATAAACAGAATAATAACAACAACAATGAGAAAGTCGAGTTCATAATTAGTCCATAAGAAGACTAGAGCAACAAGCATCACGTGAATCAAAGATTTAATTCAGATGATTCTACGGTTTTATGTTGATAAGGAATAATCAAATATAAGATTGAACATTGCCAGATACACACCGATTCAATAATCACGAATTTAAACGGCGTTAATGAAATCGGTGGTGAATAATAGAGTACCTGAATAGCTTTGATCGGAAAATGTGGCGGCGACGCCGATTGGCAAGGTCACTATGCTACCGCTGACAGCGGAAGGCGAAGCGACGATTGGATTGAAGAGTTCTATTTTTCCCCTCCCCTAGGTTTGAAGAGTTCTTTTGGTTGCCGCCTTTTATTTGATTACGTTCCCGCCTCCCTTTTTCTCTCCGAAATCCTTTTTATTTATTTTTTGTTTTTTTTTTCCTTCTTCTTCTGTTTTTTTTTTTTTTTTTTTTTGTTTAAAAGATAAACATATATTATACTAAGATTGAGTACAGAGCATGGATGCCTATATTGCATCATATTNACATCGGTTGCTTAGCCTTACGTTGCCCTTCCAAAGAACATCAGGAAGGCGTTGCGTAACATATTACATGCAGATGTACCAGTAATAGGTGCTAAAGTATTATACCCAACTATACTACTACCACACCTAGGATTACCACTATTATACCACGTATTTACAATATTAAAAACGTCAGAGTGAGGTCTATAGTGACCCAAAACAAGTTCCTGCACCATACTCTTTTCTTGCTCAAAAACTGACCATGCAAAGTCTGGGTTGTCGTCAAAAATACGCACCACCGATTGAATGTCAAAATTGCAACCTTCCTTTGCTAGTTTATCTGCAACTCTATTCTGCTCTATGTACGCATGCAGTACTGTAGGTTTACCCAACCTGTTCAGAAGGTACTTGCAGTCAGAAATTAAGTTATTAGGTGCCACATTATTAGAGTCGAGTAACCCTATAATATCCTTTGAGTCCACTTCCACTTCTAGTGGTACAAGATTATGCTCAAGAGCTAATTGGAGTCCCTGCAACAAAGCACGCGGTTCTGCTAAAGATGGTGAATCTGTTGTTATTATTGCTGCGAATCCTAATATCCATTCAGCATTTGTATTTCGTATCAGGCCACCAATACCAGACTTGCTCATAGTATATGCTCCATCGGTGTTTAATTTATAACAAGGATATTTAGGAGGTTTCCATTTAAGATTTTGTTGTCTCTTTTTCCTAATAGTGTGTTTCTTGGCAACAAGATATATGAATTTGGCTGCTTGTTGAGTAGTTAATTTAGTGGAAGCTGTGGAAATGATATTTCTATAACAGTTATTATTACGTGCCACCCAAATATTCCATAAACTTAGAGACAAGTATGTGGCTGGATTTATTTTGTATGGAAAATGAAGATCCTTGCAAGTTATAAGTTGATGAACCTAATTAGAATCATGTGTTCATTGCAAATAATGATTGATCAATTGAAGGATGCCTAAAGTCTGCCAATATGTTTTCGCATTTGTTCTAGGAATATGTGATTAATATTTTCATCTTCCCTATGGCAATATTGACAGGTAGCATCTTGAATTACGTTGATGTGCTTGAGATAGTCGAAACATAGCGACGTTTGGCTAATTCTCTAGAAAATCAAATCAAACAACACTTTTAGGGGTTGTTCGGGCACGTGCGGAGGAGAAGCCTTAATGCTCCGATGAGGAGATGTGAGCACTTGGCCATGGTGGGTACGAGAAGAGGTAGAGGGCGGCCTAAAAAGTATTGGGGATAGGTGATCAGGCGGGACATGGTTCGATTGCAGATTTCCGAGGACATGGCCCTTGATAGGAAGGTCTGGAGATCAAACATTAAGGTTGTAGGTTAGGGGGTAGTAGAGCTTTCCTTACTTCATACCCGGGATGAGGCGGGGTTGGATTAGGGTTGATCTTAGATGGCTTGCAGTTTATGTTGAGCTCACACTATCCTTGTTGTTTATCTTAGCCCGCCTTAGATACTGGTTACTGTTATTGCATGTCATTTATCTTTTGGTTGTTACGCTTCTGTTACTATTACGGTTTCTATTGGAGTTACTAATGAATTGTCTTTTCTTGTTTTTTATTTCCGTCTTTCTGAGCCGAGGGCCTATCGGAAACAGCCTCTCTGCCCTATCGGAGTAGGGGTAATGTCTGCGTACAAATTACCCTCTCCAAACCATACTTTATGGGATTTTACTGGGTTGTTGTTGGTTTATTATTGTTAATGCGAGGATTAATACAGAGAGATTTTTTATTCTTTGATTAATACTGAAGAGATTTTATGCAGTGACTATTAATATATACGAATTGTTATACTTGAATATCTTGCTTTTAAAGGTTGCTTCTTTTGTATTCAGATTATTTAATCTCGCAATGCTAATATATGTATTTGTAGTTTACATTCTATCTCGCATAAAGTAATATATAGATTCCCATATAACTTAATACATATATTATAATATTGCCAACCAAATCCTACATTAGTTATGCAATGGTTATTTTTTTCTTAAGCGGTCAATCTAAATACTATATTATCTTATGCAGGATTTTATATCGGATTAATTATTACCCTTAGACCAAACGATTCCTTACAATACTAGTAGCTTTTCATTGTGAGACGTAGTTTTAGATACTTGTGAAAAAAATAAATTTTTGAGAAAGAGTCACAATTTTTTTTGAAGAATAGTCAAATATACTTTTCTAAGAAAAACAATTCAATAGAAAAATATTATCCAAAGAATTCTCCAAAATGTTATACAACCGGATAAGTATAGTCATATGAGAATAATTGGACAAGTATTCGTTTTAAATTATCATATGCATTTAACTCCACTCTTCCTGTTGATTGTACTTCCACCCTTGTTAACATGTATTTTGTGCTTAGAACTTGGGAGAAATTAAAAAATAATTAGATTTACAAGTGGTCTTTCAAAAATAGTCATTGTTTCAAAAGTAATCGAAATTTAGCGACTTTGTATGTAAAGATAAATTTAAACGAAAACACTGTTCAAAATCTGGAAAAATACTTCAGTATAATATACTGGAATTCCAGTATAATATACTGGAACTATACTGGAACTCAGTTCCAATATAATATACTGGAGTTCCAATATAATATACCGATCCAGCATAATATACTAGAGCTTGGAGCACCGGTGCTCCAATATACTGAAACTTTCTGCGTGTTGGAGTTCCAGCATAATATGCTGGAAGTTCATACATAGGTATAACGATCACCAGTATATTATGCTAGAACTTTCCGTGTTGCAACAAAATAGTGGCTATTTTTCAATGATTTTGCAAATGCTAGCTATTTTTGAATGACCATACAAACGCTAGCTCTTTTTGAATGACCAGTCCGAAAACTGGCTAGCCTGTGCTATTTTAACAACACTTTCCATAAAATATCTAGTTTCAAAA